TCCCGCTAAAATTTCTTTCTTTTTCTGTTTATTTTCTGTTAATTTATGGTTAAGGCATACAGATGAAAATAACGAATTGGATTTCGATAAATCACTAGTCTTTATTTTCACACATTTCCAATTAATTTGGTATACATTAATTCAATCATAATTAAATATGATAAATTTCTGTGTACATTGTTTTTTTTTAAAGAAATGACGTAAGAATCTGAGAAACGAAATGGCGCGGGGATGACAGAGCAGCACTTAGGAAAAGGAATGGAATGACGTAGTTTTTTTTGTGGAAAGATTATTTATACTTACTAAGTCTTGATGAAATTGTAGAGACAAGCTATGATTGTTTAATTTGAGGTTGTTGCATAACATAGATGGATCTCGAATTTGGGAGAACAGACGGATTTAAGGGGAGAGCACCAAATCTAGAATAGTTAATTTGAGAGATCGCGAATTGTTTTTAAAGCAGTTTTCATATTTTCTTGTATTTTACATATATATGTAAATAAATATGTTAAGCAGAGCAGAACTGAATGGTATTTATTTAGTGAATAGCCTTCTTTCAGAGCAAAGGGATCAGAATGATCCCAATACATGTTGAATAGACAGCTATAGACTAATAAAAATGAAAGGGAAAATGTAAACAATTGCAGAAAATCAGGGCCCTATTAAGACTTTTAGAAGTCCTAAGCGCAGTCCAATGGAAATTTTTTGTGGTGCCCCCTTTGATTTCCTAATTCTCTTTTTTGCCCCTTTTCCTTAATGCTCAAAGCACAAGCTTATTCAGATTAGTTGTTAATCCAACTCTGCACGAAACAAAAACTGTATTTCCTTCGTTATGTAAGGCCTGTAAAAATAATTCATGTAGTAAATATTGAATAAATTAGATATACTCTAAAGCCATTAATATGCCATGGATCTGTCAAGATTAACATTGGTAATAAAAGGACAATAATAATAAAGACTGAAAAAAAATAATACAATAGTAAACAAATTTGGGTAATGATGTAGTATGCGATCTACTGCTTTTAGTTAGTTATTTTAAAGATAGCCCCACTGAAATTGGTTGTATGATATTTATGCGAAGTTTGTGCAGAAATGTGTGTCCAAAATTATTCTTAACTTGTAATAGAGAAAAAAAAAAAAAAAATCTGAAAGCTTTCAGATTTTATGTTATGCCCTAAAAAGGCGTTTTTTTTAACGTTTTGTGTGCTACCTTAATTTATAAAATATCATATCACTTAAACCACATAAAATTCAATTCAACAGCAATATCACAAAATATTTAAAATTAGCAAAACAGCGTATCTTTAGAATTTCCGATGCACAGTGTTGGGCGCTGGAGATAAAAATGTCTTTTTCCGTACAGTGTTGCCATTGCTCGCTTTGAAATCGTTCAGTTTGTTAATAAAAAATTAAAAGTTTTACAAAATATGAAATCGATAATAAAATAAATTCCAAATTTCAAATTTAGACTTCCACATGTCCATATTCGCAGTAGAATTACGTCAGTCAAAATTCGATGAACCTATATACCGTTGTTTCATCCCAATGCTAGAAATATACATGCATTTATGCAGATTTTTCATTATTTAATTTCTTCAAATATAATGCAAGACTCTAACATTTGGTGGCAACAGTTTGAAAAATGAAACAGACATTTAGAGTGGTTCGACGCAAAATCGCAAAAAAAAAATATTTGGAAAAAAAAAAAATTTGGCAATAGCTCATTATTTGAAATGTGAAATATCGTCTGCTACTTTTTGTTCTTTCGAAACGCCACATATTCCGCATGTTCCATGTGTTGTTTCAAGCCGTGGCTTAAAGAGTATGCTTTTGCGTTTTTCGAAGAGAAATATCCATCTTGCATAATTAAACAGCGTTGTGAAATGCATGGTATTAAAATTCTAAGTCCAAAATAAGCAACGTTATTAATCGGAAGGAAAAAAACCCGTAAAATAACCCCTACACGTAAAGAACACTTCAAACGAGTACCCGAAAAAGTTACGTACTGTTTCTAATGTTTCTGAAGTTAACAAGAAAAACTCCGCTGATGCAAGAAATCAATTGCACACTCTTTAAATACATCTGTAATCTCTTTAAATACAAGCACTCGAGTGGTTGTATACTGATCTTCTTCTGAGAGTTCTCGCAGCCGGGCCTCATCAACATCAGTAGGCCGGCCAGAGAACTCTGCTTGAATGTCATAGTCCTTGTTTTTGAACTTTCCATACCAAACCTTCAAATTGGTATATAATACAACATTAGTACCTAAAGTTGAACACATGATTTGGTGACATTCTGCAGCTGTCTTTTTTTCAACAGAACTGGAAGTAAATGATGATGATGGTTCTAATCTGGTAGATTCTAATAATTTCAGACACCTTGTACTTAATGATAACGATATTTTTTTACAAATTTCACAACTCAGTATTCTAAAGCAAATCTATTTCTTTCAAATGCCTATAATTGTTTGAGAAATTATGATTAAGCACGCCAACTCGAACTGTTTGCGAAGTTCATTTGACCCTTGATGAAGCATGGGCTTACGTAAATAACTGTAATAAAAATTTTATTGACTGTAACAAAAATTATTACTGATTTTTTATTATACTTATTTTTTAAAGTAATTTATTGCCGAAAACAAAGAGAAAAAGATACAAGCCTGTTTCGTTAATGCAAAGAAAGTTTCAATAAAGGGTTTATGATTGCTGCAGAATTTTCTTTCAATCGGAAATTAAAAATAAGAAAAGCGGGGGGGGGGCGGAAGAAAGGGGGCGGGGGGGGGGGGCGGAAAGTTAAAATCAACTCAACGTACTAATCAAGAGAAAGTTTTACGTCCGATATTTACAAAAGAAGGTCCATTTATTTATCCTAATGACTTTCGAAGAGTGAAACTTTATAAAGACAAAACAACAAATCACACTTCGAAAAGTAGCACTGTATTCCTTGAAGAAATGAAGATTAGTACAGGTCTTGCCTACTGGACAACTTTTCAATGTATTTCTGTGAAGTCCCTTGATATTTCGCTTATAGTGCCTTTGGTATCTTGAAAAAAGTTGTTTCTAAATGCAAACCCTCACGATGGATGGACTTTGGAAAGTAGTGGACATTGGAAATTACGAAAGGTTTTCCGTTACTTTGGAAATTTTACAAAAAGTTTTCCGTTCTGGAAATAACGATGCAGATTTAAAGTAAAACCAAAAAAAGGGCTATCAGATCAAGCTTTTAAAAAAATACTGTTAACATTTTAAGCCTTAACTAAACGGCCTGAAATTTTTCTAAAAATGTGTGAATACCCTCTGTATTTTGCAAACGCCACAGAATATTTTACATATTATTTACAAGTAACGTTCAGAAGTGAAGGGAAGAGAAAAATTTAAAACAAAACCAATCATTCCTTTAACGTAGCAACTAAATGTGTTAAGCATAGAAGAATTTGATAGTACTTAATTTAGCAAGTCTCCTTCATTTAGAGAAAAAGAATCAAATTGAAAAAAATGGGCGGATAAACGACAAACACATAAACATAAAATAATCAAAACACTAAAAAGAAAATTTCAAAAAAAGCAGAAAATATATTTCTTTTATGCATATTCACGCAGTCAAGTATTAAAATTCAGCCGGAGCCCAGATAAGGTGAACTCTGGCATGTTTATTTACTATTTATTAATTTAATTTATCTAAATAATTAACTTTATATTGCTACACTTTACTTGATTTTTAGCTATGCATTATTTTTCTTTTACTTCTCTAACCGGCCTTTCATAAGGTTCTAGCTCTTCTAATTTCAGAAATTAAGCCTTGACACGCACACACACACGCGCGCGGAAGCCCATGCACATACACATGTAAAACATTCTCAAGGGAATAGAAATTTAGAAAAGTGTGCATGCAAAGTAACATATTAACATCAACGCGAGATTGAAGGAATTTAAACAAGTAAATGTATATTTCTTTTATATCTCTTTCTATGTACGCATATTCACGCAGTCAAGTATTAGAATTCAGCCGGAGCCCAGATAAGGATAACTCTGGCATGTTTACTTACTATTTATTAATTTAATTTATCTAATTAATTAACTTTATCTTGCTACACTTTACTCGATTTTTAGCTATGCATTATTTTTCTTTTACTTCTCTAACCGGCCTTTCATAAAGTTCTAGCTCTTCTAATTTCAGAAATTAAGTCTTGACAGGCACACACACACACGCGCGCGCAAGCCCATGCACACACACGTGTAAAACATTCTCAAGGGAACAGAAATTTAGAAAAGTGTGCATGCAAAGTAACATATTAACATCAACGCGAGATTGAAGAAATTTAAACAAGTAAATGTATATTTTAAAATTTAGAAATTTAAGCAAGTAAATATATATTTTAAAATTTATCATAATTTTATGTCTTTTGAGGTGAACATAATGTAAATATAAGCTGAAATAAATGTAATTTTTGGTTAGCTAATATATTATTATATTAAATTATAAAATTTTATATTTTATGCTAAAACTATTTTTTTATAAATGTAAAAGAGAAAACACTTACGTATAAATAGCAGAAAGTTTTGCATTAGAAGAAATGTTAAATATGGTTATATTTCCTTTATCTTAACATCAGATTTTATTATTAATTTATTTCCCTTCTTTTGCTCCTTTCAACTGTAATTTAAAACTTTGCTTTTTAAAAATTAATGTAATTTTGAACTTTTTGTTATTAAATTGTGTACTTTCTATATCATTCTTATTTTTTTTTTTTTTAGTGGTTCTATTTCCTTTCTATTAAATTCAAACATTCTTTCATCTTAGAAATCAAGCCCTATATATATCAAGTTTGCGTTTTAATTAAACTTCGGGTGTCAGCAAAAAAAGTGTGATACAAACGCACGGCGGGTTTTTTCAACTACCGAGAGCGTCTTCTCCGTGCGGCGCTGCGATTGGTCGACGACTTTTGATTGACATGCGCGCCAGAACCTCCTCGCCAAGATCGCGCGAGAGGAAAAATATTTTACTACGCCACAGCTGTGAACATATACCTCCTCTAGATCGCAGCACGCGTTTCGTGAAGGGGGGAAACCTTCACACAATCGATCGATATTTCGTGATTGATTTTCTTCCATTGAAAAACCCACATCTACCCAGTAAAGTTAAGTCGCGCTAGGAGAAGGAGGCTAAGCGTTATGAGGGGGAAATCGGCGAGAAAAAGGCAGTGTTAAGGAATGGTAAGTGCAGTTTATTTTTCTATTTCTGTTATTTCTCTCCCTTGCTTAGAATAGACGCAGATTTTTTACTCCGTCATGCATTTGCTTGGCCAGGCAGAAGTGAAAGATCTATCTGTGCTATGTTTTTAGCATTTACTAAAGTCTTTTTCTAAGCCTAAATATATTAGAACTAATTGTAATTTAAATATTGCACCGAAGAGGTGTTGTTTGCATTCCGATCGTAAACAGTGCGAATGGATATTGGATTAAGTACAATAAACAAATAGCAGCTAGTGTACTTTTGACAGTCTAAACCGCATTGGTTAAACAGGGTACAGGGTGAAGACGTTCTCAGACTGCCTACTTTCTTACGAGAAGGCGAGCACGCCCGTTATACTGGGTTTCAATTTGCAAATGATACACAAATATCGTTCGCCGTCATAGAGGCATGGCTCAAAATGGAATTAGGGGGTAGGGAAATGTATTTCGGTGCATTATGCCTGATGGAAAAAATGAACTGTGGCATTTAAACCAGTTACCGTAATGTAAAGATCAACCATAAATGAATTTTTTTCTTTATTTAAAATAGGACATTTTTATATTGTGCAATGAACACGTACATTTTCTCATGTAATGTTTGTTTATTTTATTTTATTTTATTTTTTTTTTTTTTTGTTTGTTTTGCAAGTACACCCGTTATACAAATTTTTGTGTTTGTATACCGCGTTGCTGTTTTTTTTAATTCAAGTATTTGCCGAATTAATTGAATTTTTCGAAAGCTGATTGTAACTTTTAACTGTATCTTTTGACTTTTGTTCATGTTAGTCCATATGTATTTTTTTAAATGTTAAAAGCATTTTTAAAAAATTATTCTTTGCTGTTTAGAATTCTAAACTATATTTTTTAAGTAACTAATTCCATATATATAGGTCTAAATATACAAATTTTTAAGAACATATATTAAATTTACTATTAAAACATCTCAAATGCTGTAGTTTTGTAGTGATAAATATTTCGATTTAATTTGTGTTTAATTTCTTTCTTCCAAATAGTGTATGAATTATTATCTAATTTTTTCGAATACCTATTATTTTGCTGTAATAATCACTCAAAATATAATTTTTTGCATATCTGTGCACTGACTTGTAGGAAATTTATAAAATTGCAGCAATTAAAAAAAGTGGGGGGTTGCAATTGAATGGTTTATAACCATTGTTTTTTATAAAGTGTACAATTAACTGCTAAAAAACAGCAAATATTTTGAAAATTTGGGATAGGAATTATAGTATTTATATATGATTTTGTGATTTTGAAATAGTTTTTTTACCGCTTTTATAAAATTTATATTTATTATATTATATTATAGTTTTTTGATTTTATATAGGGTGGCCTGTTTTATATTCAAACTCTAACGTAAAAAAGGCGTGAGCTAATTGATGGGTCTAGAAGGATATCGCTGGAAACACTATAAGGTATGTGTTTATAATAAATACATTACATATTGATGTAACATAATAATAGATTTTGAAATTAAAAATGTTCTAATTATTATAATACGATATCAATTAATAATGTAAACATTATAATACAGTGGCTCTAGTGCAGAATTGGGTGTCCCTTTGGTTAGCGACTTTTTTTTAAAAAAATTTTGATGATGAAACCTCATTTCTGGTTACCACGATATTTTTAACTGTGTTTTAGCTTCCTGATTTTTTTAAATGAAAATAGATTCATGTGTACATGGGCAAATTTAAGGCAGTGTGCAATGCCTAGTTTGTGCGATTCTAGGAAATTTTTTAAGTGAAAACAGATCGATGAGTACATGGACATAGAGTTTGTGCAACTCTTTGACTTCTAATTTTGGTTTTGTTTAGCGGCCACCTTGAAGTTGTGCATTCCTGGCACTGATCTTTGTATCAAAAAAGAATCGCCAAAAAACAAGGGGCACCCATTTGTAAACTTTTACCAAATGTTTGATTATAACCTTTTTTTATGGATGAAAATTAATTAATACACTGTTTAGGTAATTGAAAAATGACGAGGGAAAATCCCAAAACTTTCTTTCCAAAACATTAGGCATTTATAAAAATAGAACTTTGAAATAGCACTTATTAAACACTGCTTTTCTTAAAAGGGAAATAAAAGAAGAGTTTCTGTAATACATGTTTTTCTTGCAAAAAGTATTTCTTCACCTTATGTTACATACAGCTTTATTCATAGCTTACTTTAAGTCACCATATTGTGTGATTATGTGTTATAATAAATAACTGCATTACTTAAACATTTTCTTTAACCAGTGTGATTCTTAGCTGCTCTGTTTTATTTTGAACACCATACAAATTATTTATTATGGCCAATATACTGTTATAAATTTTGGTACTTTCCTGTTATTGTGATCAGACTCAGAAATGTATACATGTTATTGTTGTTGGTAATGCTCACTTGCCTTGACCTATAGTCAACTCAAGCCCACAAAATTCCTCGTGGCAAGGAGTGCAAGTTTACGGCTGCCATTGACAACAGCCTTGAGCACCTTGCAGATGACAGTGTGATTTAGCTCAGTTCCGCACCCAATTTTGATAGAGAGCACTCTGGTGAGCTCCGAAGGTCTCCCAACCCTCTTCCCCTACTAACAACCTCTCGAGGGGACTTTCAGCTCGCTGCATATTTAAAGTGCTGCCATGCAGCACTGACACAGTACATTTACAAACATCCATGCCTTCTCCAGGATTCGAACCCGGCCCTTTAGCACGACAGTCAATGATGCTAACCACTATACTGGTTGGGCGGCAATGTATGTATGTATACATTCATATACGTATGTATGTATACTCATGCATATATGTACAGTCAAAAGTCTTTAATCCGGGCTCGTAGGGACTTCGGTGATTCCAGATTATCGATTTTTCCGGATTATAGATCATCAGTTTAAATCTGGTAAGATGGCATGCAGAAATTATAAAATTAAAAATATGAAACCATAATTTATAAAATAATGAGCAATTATAATCTAAAGGGTATCAAAATTTACAAAAAAAAAAAAAAAAGCTTAATATTTATTTGTTTACTATATTAAACATTTCTTTCAATGCGCGCATGTGTAAAGCATACATTATGCATATCCGAAATTAGAAAATTGCAACCAGAAAACTATTTGATTTGTATTCGTGATATTTATAATGATGAGGAATTTGATTTAAATCATATCAAAGATGGAGTGCATCGAGATGAAATACTACATTTAATAAGGAATTATAAGCCGAATAAAATAAAAACATCTGCCCTGAAGATAACGATAGTGCTGACAGATCAACTTCCAGTTCATTGTGCCGCGATGTCCCCCCCCCTCTCCCGCGCAGTGCAGCGTGAAATTGATAAACAGATTTCGGAACGGTTAGATAAACAAAGGATATGCCTTTATCCATTTTTTGGAGCAATTCCACTTTTTGTTTGATGGACATCGAAACATACTTTCGTTTTGTAGATCCTTTGGCAGCTCCAGCATCGGAAATTCTATTTGACATAATCGAAAGTTCAAGCTTACTTTTATAAAATTGCCCTTACAGTCTGCAAAAAATAATAAGCCGGATCCAATTCGAAGATTAAGGAACAACGCAATCATCAACATTAACTGAAATAGATAATTAGATAATTTTAGGTTATACCGTCCGTTATACATTAAACGTGCACGCGAAAACGTATTCTGCGCTTGTGCACATGCATATGCGCAGTCGTAAAGGTCTTACGCGCATGCGCAGAAAGTTTTTAGCTTTGAGGTCCGGATTATAGATCATTCCGGATTATGGGTGTCCGAATTAACGACTTTTGACTGTATATACGTACGTACATTTCCACAGCTGGTCCCTGTAAAGAAGAGTACCTAAATATATTTTTTTGCATAAATTGTTTTTCTTCCTAGGTTAAATATTTAATTTTGGTATTTACATTTATATATTTTCCGATTGACTGTAAAAGTTGGTGGAGATCCTGTCAGAGTTATAGCAAACATTTTCTAACAGAAGTTTAAAGTAACACATTGCTGTTTTAAGAAAATGACAGACCATTTTTTTATTTATTTAGATAATCAATAGCTGCATGGTACAGATACAGTACAAAGTTCGAACGTCCATTATCTGGAATAATCTAAAATCCGGACCTCCGAAGCCACAAATATTTTTTTTTTGTATGCTTTACACATGCGCTTTTGATTTTTTCTTCCATAATATAACATGTAGAGATTTTCATTTAAAAATTCCAATTCTTAATTTCACTTATGCACTAAATAAAATATCTCGTTATGGGAAAACAATCATGTAAGCATAAATTTGTGAAATTAATAATATGAGTCCGTAGCTGTGTATCTGCTTGGCATACATCTCAAACCGAAACATTCACCTATTTTATATCCCTGACACCGACCTGGCGAGTCATTATTTATTACATTTTGCTTTCATCACCGCATATTTATCAATACATGACAGCTTCAGTAATAACTCACGCAGTGATGTCTAAACATTTTTTGGTACTTTTCCGTTTCGCCGGCACAAATCTCGCCAAGCAGACTTTATTGGCGACAACATAGAGTATATACATAAAAAGTACTAAAAAATTGTTAGTTCTAATAATTCTTTTTTTGAAGGCATAAACATTTTAATATCACTTAAAATTTTATAAAAAGCCAATAAATTTGTAAAAAGACATTAATTTAAGAATTTACTATGCTTTCATGATTCAACATCCTGATTTGCCGGTTCATATCACGTGACCCCAAGCTATCTCATCTCACGTAAACTACTCTACAAAAATCTAATGCTGTCAGTAATTATCTACATTAATTTCAAGTTAAATCTTAATTTGGAACACAAGTTTAAATGCAAGAAATATTTCAATTTGTACGAATAGCTTACTCAGAAATTATGTAAAACTGCAGTGCTTTACTTTGCTAATGCATTCTCATTAGAATTGATGAATTTACCCTTGACTTTACCTTTTCTATATTTTCGGCTTCAGGTAAGAGCTGTAATTGCATCCTAATTGACTTAATTACCGAAAATGGCCTTAGACTTAAAACTGAACTATCTGATAAAAATTCTATGTACTAATTATATCCCAGTATTGAAAGAAACAATTAATCTGATAAGAAAAACTTGTTTGTTTGCGACTTGGGTACTATTCCGTTTTGAGGACCGTAAAAAATTGCAGCGAAAATGTATGAGCAAAAGCGCCAAATCTAGCAAACGCACCCATTTAACAGCACGCCAAATCTAGCGTACGCGCTGATTTCAGATTGCATAAGTTTATATATATTTCTTCAGACGCCATTGAAATACTAGGTTTATTTTTAAATCCTTTTTTGATTTTAAATCTTTTTTTAATATCCTAAGGATTTAACAATTTGGGAATTGCCCATGGCGAAAAGTCGGCAATAGAATTTTGGGTAAAGTGCAGAATCACCCACTGTTTGAAGCGTTTATAAGAATTGCACATACTCGATATCCATGTGCACATCGACCTATTTTCACTTTAAAAGAAATCCCAGAATTGCACAAAAATGGCACTGCGCCCACCTTTGACATTATCTATGTACACATCGACCTATTTTCACTTAAAAAGTAAAAGAAAATTGACAAAAATTCAATTGTTTTTACCCTTGTAAAATGCGGCAAACAAATAAGTGAGCGATTCTATATATAATTATTATATAGAATCGCTCGAGAATATTTTCAATGAAAAGGCATCATTCATTATAGAAAATTACGTTTGAACAACCAACGAAATGAAATTATGCTTTAGCGATAAGTCGGTAGCGAAATAACGATGCAGGCATCCATTCAGTTATGTATAGCAATTTTTATATAAATTATAATAATGATCCGAAATAGTTATTTACTCTTATGCTTCCATTCAGTCATGTTTAGCCTTTTTCATATAAATTATAATAATAAAAAGTATTATATGAAAATAACCTTTCATCTAAATTAAAACATCAGTCTTAGATAGTTATTTACTATTATACTTCCTTTTTTGCCTCAATTATTAGGGTTGCCGCAATTATTTTTGGCAGCATTGGCATCAACAATAGTTTGGCGATTTTTTACGGCCCTCGAAACCGAATAGTACCCAGATTTGTTTTGAAAATGAGGCGTAAAAGGTTACCAGCGAGAATATTCCGTTTGGCATCGGTAGTACCATTATTGGCGACTTTATCGCTTGCGCCGGCAAAACGGAAAAGTACCCTTTTTTTATATTAGTAATTGAATAACAAGCGTATGGCAACCTTTTATGCTAACATTATGCTTGGCGATGATTATAGATTTTTAATAGCTCTAAGAAATGTTGACTAAAAAAAATTCAACAAAAATTTCTTTTCATATACTAAAAATAGATTTTGTTAATGAAACTCATAGGCCAAAAGATTACATTTAGTGCTATTTTAATTAATAACTGATATGTTATTCACCATAAGCGGCGG